GGTCCACAAGTAGATTCTATGGTCCAGAAGTAGATTCTATGGTCCAGGAGTAGATTCTATAGCCCAGAAGTAGATTCTATGGTCCAGAAGTAGAGTCTTTGGTCCAGTAGTAGATTCTATGGTCCATAAGTAGATTCTATGGTCCAGGAGTAGATTCTATAGCCCAGAAGTAGATTCTATGGTCCAGAAGTAGATTCTATGGTCCATGAGTAGATTCTATGGTCCATGAGTAGATTCTACGGTTTACCTGCATTCCTTCTCATCTGTTAAACATGTCTCCAGTGTTGGCTTCTTGTTTCCTCCCCCAGGGGTGAACAGAGTGGTGGATCTGTGTGCAGCCCCCGGCAGTTGGAGTCAAGTCCTTAGCCGGAAACTCAGGTGTCCATCGTCCCTCTGCATATCTTTATTGAAACAGCCACATCTTGAAGTCCAGCAGGAAATTAATTTAGCACATATTTACATTGTCAGTGTTTTTGTGTCCCTCAGGGGGCGGGAGGAGAAGGGTGAGGCGGTTGAGGAGGTGAAGATTGTGGCGGTGGACCTGCAGGCCATGGCTCCTCTGCCAGGAGTCACTCAGATTCAAGGAGACATCACAAAGGTGGGGAATCTAGAAATGATGAGCTATGATTTGACTTTTATTGCAGGTTCTGCTTCCATTAACATTTTGCCTCTGTGTGTCTGTCTGTTAGCAAAATATCTCATGGATCACTGGATGAATTTTAATGGAACTGTGAAAGTAACCAACTGACACCATAGTTCATCCTCAGTAATCAGTCAGGTTGACTTTGAGCATGAACTTTGTTGTTTTGAACCACTTCGCTGCCTCAGAGGAGTTAACGGGGAAGAGGGCGGGCCCCAGAGGCTATCTTATCACCAGCATACTGTTAATCAGTTTGTTTGGTGGCTCCTCAGATTGAAGAAGTCCTTTGGATGAAGGACGAAACGTCTCAGCAAAAAAAAAGAAACCGTCCAGAGGACCTGGCTGAACGTTGTTGCATCTTTAACTGATGAACCTTTGGTGTCAACCTGACTGAATTAATGTGCAGTGGTCCCTCGCTACGCCACGGTTAGTTTTTCACGGGTTCGCTCTATCGCGGTTTTTCAAAATAAGAGTGGACATGACACAGTTGGCTGACTGATGGATGAGCCATGGATTGTTTATTTAAAATAATTTTTTTTAAATTATTTTAAACTATGTGTGCAGCCCACAAGTGCAGGGAAAGCTCCCTCCTGCAGCTGATCAGCTGATCTCCTTCTCTGCCACGCCCACATTTCTCCTGCAGCAGCAGTTTTGTGAAGGTTAACCCTTTGCTGGCCAGATTCACCGATCAACTTTTGTTTTCCAACTTGAAATTCAAAGTATGTCTCATAGTAAAATCATCATAATCACAAAATACAAAGGTGTTAAAAGTTATTTTTAATTATTTTAGAACTTCTATGTTCAGTTGTTTCTGTGTCATTGATCAAGAAGTTCATTTGTGCTCCGCTGAAGCTGTGTGACATCCTGTCATGTCCTGCTGCACTTCTCTTCTCTACAATTTAAATTTAAATACTGTAACATTTTAAATAAACAATCCATGCTGCATGGATTGTTTATTTAAAATGTTACAGTATTAAAATTTAAATAATTCATTTAAGGAAGGACATATGTAGGAACAGGTGATGAGTGTGATTGCAGCCTGGCACATGTCATGACAGAGTTCATTGTACTTAAACTGAACTTGCACTACTGTCTCTCTACTTGGCAGTTTTTCACTTATCGTGGGGGGGAGCCACTGCTGCTCCTCCTATCTGCTGAGGAGGAGGAGCAGGAAGTGGCTGCTCCTCTGCACCCAGTCACCCCAGGTGTTTCCCCTCAGTCCCATTAGCGTGTGTATACGGTGTGTGTGTTTTCGCTCCTCTGGGCGTCCCTTCATGGTGTCATGGTCTGTGTGCTCTACGTGTCTTCACCTCCCTCTTAGGTATGTTCTTTTGTTTTGTTTATTTAAAATAAATTATAAAATTACTGGTTTTACTTGGAGTCTCCGTAGCCTTCCTCCACGTGGGTTCAACACTTAACAAGCAGACCATGTCACCATCTTTGGCACGTCAAAATCAAAAATGGCCACCACCAAACATTTATAGGTAAACTTACCACCTGTCATTTGAAGGAACTATGCTTTCTAGTTTTTATATTACTTAGTTTCCTCAAATGATTGGGGTGACTGAATGTTAATGTATGGTGGCTGAGACCACCGTTGGCCCCCCACTGGCTCCTCCACTGCACCTGCTGGTGGATAAAATGGCTCCCTCCAGGATCCGTCACTGCGCTGCCTCAGACAAGAAAAAAACAAAAAGGACCTGAACAACTCGTCGGCTTGTTTGTCTGTCTCCATCAGATGGAGTCTTACAAACACTTCTGTCAGAAACACGTTTGTGCACGTCAGCATCCGTGTGAGGTTGTGTCAGAGAGTCGTGTTGTCCTCAGGTGTCGACGGCCCAGGAGATCATTCGTCACTTCGAGGGACAGCCAGCCGACCTGGTGGTGTGTGACGGCGCTCCGGACGGTGAGCTCCATCACATCGGCTCTTCACTCTCCACCGCTCCTCCTCTTCACTTTCTCCTGTGTTTCCATAGTGACGGGACTCCATGACGTGGATGAGTACATCCAAGCTCAGCTCCTACTGGCAGTGAGTGCACCTGAGGGTTTGTGGTCCTGTGTCCGGTGTGGGTGATGTCACTGACAGCTGTTTGTCTCTGAACATCACCAGGCTCTGAACATCACCACTCACGTCCTGAAAGCTGGAGGCACGTTTGTGGCCAAGGTGAGAGCAGCTTTTATCTCCTCATCTGTACAAGTTCAAAGCAAATGAAAGAAACATCCAGTGATTGGTTTACAGACACTTTTAGTACAAAGATGACTGAAATAACTTGACTAAAGAAATAAAAACATCCTGAACATCAGTCATTGATTTAGATTTTTAGTTTAAAATAAAGCATTGAACCTTTAACTTAAGAGCTAAAGAGCTGCAGGAGGTAAACATCTCTAACAACAAGATGGCAGCTTCAGGTTGATCTGAAGGAGCCACAAGACCTGAGGAACAACGAGACTAAAATCAAGCTGTTTACCCACAATGCACAGCAGCATGTGGGAGAAAACTACCAGCATATCAGCACCAACAGCTCCTCCAGCTGTCAGCACGGCAGTGAAGGGCTGATGGTCTGGGCTTCTGTCAGTCACTGAGTGGACCAGGAACTTCTCTAGACCAGGGGTGCCCAATACGTCGATCATGAAATATCAGTAGATCGCACGGCGAAATAGATGTCAGACCTTTTTTAAAATTTCTTTTAATCTTATTTTTTAATAGACGGTCAGCCGATCAATCCATCTTCACTATGCAAATTGTCACTTGATTGACACACAGGGCAGCCAATCTGAGACCGGATCTTTTCTGACGCATAGGTCACGACACATGCGCGTTCAGCCGCGCTAAAAACCAACGAGTTGACTCGTAACAGCCTCCAGTTTATATCCAAACTCAATAAAGTGTAAAATAAATTGAGGAGCTGGACCAAGTAAGAAAGAATCTACCATTTCCATACGGAATGGGGGGAGGGCCTTTTTGTTTTTCACGATTCCAAGTGCGTTTCACCGGAGCTGCATTTTCGTTCTCTTCATTAAAAGTACGGCTCTGACTTCTCTCTGAAAAGTGAGCTGAGAAAGAAAATGGTGAAGGAGCGAAATCCCAGTTATGTGGACAGCAGTCATTTTTCTTCCAGCCGACCAGCATCAGTCCAGGTGAGTCACTTTAATAATTGTTAAGCACAAGAAGTCTTTTCAAGAGGGAGACGTGGTAAAAGAGTTACTTGATGAAGCAGCTGACTCGTTCTTTAAAAACAAACATCATCTTCATCAGCTAAAGGTCCACTGAGCTGCTGTCAGCGCTGACTTCTCACTTCTCAGGTTATTCTTCAAACATGAACTTATTCTTATTGTTTCCTGTTCCTTTGTGTCAAGAACACAAGTCATTGATGGGTTTTGTTATTTTGTACACGCACAGTAAAAATAAATTGTCACTTTTTTTTAAACAAACTTTTGGGTTTAATCGTTTATGTTGCGTCCACAGTGAACTGGGACTTGTTCATTTATTCAAGCTTTAGTTATCCAGGTTGGTCTCATTGAGTCACGAGGACTCATTTACCAGAGAGACCAGTTTTAGACAAACAACACGTAAACTACAGACAATAAACTACAGTAAAACACAATTAAAATAAAAGTAGTGTTATAAAACAATAAATCAAGGTGCCACATGGTAAAATACTAAACACAGGAAGGTAAAACATACAAAGCATACTTCATATGTTTCTAAATAAGTCTATGTTTTGTATTTTTATAGTAGGTAGACGACTTGGACTTGGTCATTTTAAAAGTAGCTCGCATGCTGAAAAGCTCGGGGCACCCCTGCTGTAGACCAAAGAGTTCTGGAGTCAGATGCAAGTCCGTCTGACCAAACTTGGTCTAACAGGACAGTGATCCAAACCACATCAGCTGATCCACAACAGAACGGTTCAAAAAGAACAGAACTTTAACCTGACTGGAACGCTGTCTTAGCAGAACCCTCAATGAGCTGAAGCGGCGCTGGAAAGAAGAGTGGGCCAGAACTCCTCCACAGCCAGGAGCCAGACTCCACAGAAACCCACTGAGTCATTAAGAAGTTCTACAGGCTGCTGGGTTCTTGTGTGGAAACAATCGGGTCCGTTTTGTTCTGTCACTATAATAAAACCCTAGAACTGAAAAATGGGCGGAGCTTATTTGTTGCCATGACTACAGGAGGAAGTGACCCCATGACTGGGTGGTGCGATGGACAAAGCTTATTAGATTCTGAAACCTGCCTGAGTTTGGTGCAACAGAGCAGAGAGGTTTTTGCAGTGGTGCATTATGGGCCGCAGATGTTTCACTTCCTGTGAGAGCCAAGCCGTCTTTCTTGTTTCAGATCTTCCGTGGTAAAGATGTGACTCTGCTGTACTCTCAGCTGAAGCTCTTCTTCGGCTGTGTGACTTGTGCAAAGCCTCGCAGCAGCAGGAACTCAAGCATCGGTGAGTCGCCGCCACGTGTCGAACCCTGACCTGAGCAGGTGCTGTGCCCGCCCTCGTTCTGTCACAACACCTGCACTCTTCTACACGTTAGTCTCTGGTTGTGCTAGCGTTAGCTAAAAATTGTAAAAGAGGGAAAAATCTTTCTTGCAATATGGCGGTCCACTCCGGCTGAGGAAAAGAAGAGAAACAAGACTCGAAGGTTTGTGGAGAAACTTTGACGCTGCTGCAGATTTAAAGTTTGGATCTGACAGTAATGTGTCATTGATCACTCTCAGCTACCACTGCACCAAATATGGCAAAAATCCAATGAGTCCATTTTTCTTTTAGCTAAGGTGGCCTTGGATTTTTAATTTGCAGCCAGTCTGTTAGGAATCGTTCTCAACTACCAACACACCAAGTTGCAACTGAATAGCTCAAAAAAAGCTGCGTTATATTTTTTCCCTTTTAGCTAAGGTGGCCATTTTGGATTTTTAATTTGAATTCAGTATTTAATGGACATTGCTCTCAGGTACCAACACACCAAATTTCAGCTGAATAATAATCTAGTTAGTTCTAGAATTGCGCCGCTCCAGGTGGCTGCATGTTGGAGCAGCTCTGTTACTTTCATTCTGAGATTTTGCTTTTGGAAACTTTAATTCCTCTTTTTCTGGATGTAAATCACATTTTTTGAATGAATGTTTCCTCTGGTATCAGATGCTGTGCAGCTGGAAGGATTTTTACTGAAACTTTTAGTTTTGGACATTTGTGATGATGCGTAACCATGGCAACAAGGCAGTTTTCTACAACCAACAGCAGCTGATTAACATCTCAAAAGCTCAAATAATATCTCAACTACAGCTCTGTCTGTCTGTCTGTCTCTATCTAGACAGACAGACAGACAGACAGACAGACAGAGTAAGGTATAAATAAATAAATAAAGTTGAGACGTGAAGTCAGGTGGATAATAATAGACAGCTGCCTTATACCAGGCAGTCCCCGATTATAATGTTCATTACTATACTTTGCATCTTCATTGAACATTTTTAAATAAATGGGTTTAGATGTGGATACATTTTTGTTCTTTTTTAAAGAAATAACCAAATAAGTCCCTGAAAAACCTTCTAACATCTAAAATCTTCTGACAATCGTAATAAATAAAAGAAAAACAAGTAAAGAAACGGTCTGCTTTTGAATTTTGCTTCAACAAAACAAACTAATGAATTTGGCCTTCATCTGCCTCTCAGGTCTCAGGTGTCTTCAGTGTTTGGAGGGTGACAGGTAGTCACAGGGCTGTGTGTCACACACTGAACACAGGAAGCTGAGGACAGATAGTCTCAGTCTGATGGTTGTGCTTTATTTTCTAATTCACAGCTGTCCAATGTAATCTGGTGCTTTTTTTTTGTAATTTTCCACAAACAAACAAACTTGTTGTCCTGCTCTTACAGAGGCATTTGTGGTGTGTCAGAATTACTGTCCTCCTGAGGGTTATGTCCCCAACATGTCCAACCCTCTGCTGGACCAGTCCTACGGTAATTATCAAGACACGTTCTGACCATCATCAACACTAATCTATGGATACACATCAACAAAAAGTCTTTGTGTACAAGACTTGGTCTTCTTTTTCATCTTTCAGCTGTTCCCTCTTCAGGGCTCTCCACAGCAAGTCCTCCATCTCACTGTCCTCACTCCAACTACGTCCATGTCCTCTCTAACTGCATCCATTTATCTCCTCTTTGCTGCATTTCTAACATCCTTTTACCAATATAACCACTGTCCCTCCTCTGGACATGTCCAAACCACTGTCCCTCCTCTGGACATGTC